AACTTCTTCTTAGCTCTCAGTTATCCAAACAACACAATTAACCAGACTCGCCCCCCCTCCCCCACTCCGGTCCCCCCCACCCCGTTCCCTATGCATTCCAGGCAACTGAGGTCACAGTGGACTGGGATTCAGATGTATATTTTGCTGGAAGATTTTTTTTTTCCTGGCACTAATCTCATAGTATCTGAGTTATAAATTATGTTCATTAAATGCTTTCTAGAGATTCAAAAGAAATGAAAAAGAAAACAAAGTGCCTCCTACTTTTTTTCTGTGAAAACAGAGACCTTCTTATCTCAGTCCAAGTTGGGCCTGTTATTTTGGAATGACTAAACTTGGAGGTAGTTCTCTATTCTTCCTTAGGGTTCATGTCCATTGCAGTTTACATTCAAATGGTCTTTTTCATTGATAGCTGGGTAATAGGAAAGCTTATTAAAGACTACTTCCCAAGGACCCCCTTACAGTAGAGTTAAGCTTGAATCATCTTGGAGATTGGTTATCCTCAGAGGTATAGTCATTCATTAATTTCTTGTCCAGGCAGAACAATATGTTGAACCAAAGTGAGCTTTTCCATTGCCTCACCACGAGAAGATTCAAATCTTGGAGCCCTTTGCTCCTGGGGAGAAGAAAGAGAAAACAGTAAGAAAGACTTCTCCATCCGAGACTTTCATAGGATTTCAATATAACAATTCCAAGCCCCACACCACCGCTCTACTCCATGAAGAGATGTAAATTGCTAAACTTTCCTGGATCATTGAACAAATAAACATTATGACATTCGTCATAATTAGACATTGCTATTTACAAAGGTTTTTACAAATCTAACAAAAGGGGGGCATGTTAATATACAGGCAGTCTTCAACTTACTAATGAAGTATATGCTGAAAATTTACAAGAGGATCATTTGGAACACGGAGTGCCTTCCTTCATGGAGGAAACCTGACCTGTGGTGGTCAGGTTTCCAGGCCAAGCCACAAAGGTTGGTTTAACCCACATGTAGCAAAGCTTTATTAGAGTTCTGCCTGGAGTCCTGGGTCTGGAGAGCAAAGGCAAATGGTGGTCTCTCCCCATTTTAGGGGTCCAAGGAAAACCCAAAGCAAAAGTTTAAAAGATGTGGTTTCTAAACTGACTTTTCCAGCCTCGTACTTGTTTCCATCCTTCTCCCATCTCCCAGGGCCCTTACTTCCAGCGATGTAGTGCTCTCATATTCTCCCAAGCTTGCTTC